TCGCGGGGTGTACTTGAAAGCGCTCCTTTTTTTGCTCCCCCCCCTCCCCATATAGACTGTGGTCGCACCATCGCGCGCGTACTAGCAGGCTATGTCCAGATAGTTAGTCACTCCCACACTGGCTCTTCCGTGGGAACGTTGAAAAACCAGACGCGCCAGAGTTCTCAAGCCAGATGCGTGTGGACCTCACGGATCAAGCTATCCTCAAAGATTAAACTGACCAACAAGTCTACCTGAAGCAGCATGTTCCGAAAAAACATAGAGCCAAATTTTCCAAAGGTACAGCAGTAAGGAATAGCGTCATTGTCCCGAAGCTAGGCATCCCACGTTTTTCACGAGCTATGCCCCTCCAGCTGCTTCCCTCAATGGCTACTGTAGATGTAAATGTAGAATCATAGAAAAAAAAATAGGAGAAAGAGATTAATGTGTAATCACGGTATTTTAAGGAAGTGGACGCTGAGTGACATCTGTTTCAAGCCGCCTAGCCCAAAGTTCCATACGGGACCGCTAGCCAAAGTAAGTTTTTGTAAACAGACTACTGTCAGGGAATGAACAAGCCTCCTACTGTCACATTAGTGCTTCAAAGGCTAATTCGGCAGAATTTGACGCAGTCCGGCCACAGGGGAGGGGCATTTTGCACTTCCAATGCTTCCCACTGTCGTGCTGAGCATCAAGCAGAGGATTGTGACATCCTACATATTATGAACCTGGGAGGGCGAAAAAAATGGTCATGTGGACAGCTTGCCTCTTCAGAGTCATATTCCATGGTGAGCGTATGGGCGGAGTCCCAATAACGAACACATCTTTCTCACTGTTCGGCTCTTTCCTCAAGATTGTAAGTACGTGTAAGAGAAGAGGCGTGGCTGTGAGAGCAGCTAGAGTTCAGGCGAAAGTGAGGGGGTTGGTTTGTATAGGAGACGAGTCGGCACGGGGCACGCAGAGTGTCTTGGGTACGTTTTTTGTAACCCTCCGATGAAGTCGGTAGCTGGGTCCCTTATGGCGTCTACCGTATCAGTCACTTTTCAGTAGAGGAAGTAAGAGACTCATTATGGAGCTGTTTCTGTTGGGTTAGCTAGAGCTGTTCAATTCAATAATTTTTTTACAGCTGATGAATTCACTGCTGGACAAAATGATACCTTGCATATGGATCACTCCTATTGACTGCTACTGGGAGGGATCGAAACCATTGGGCCCATATCCGCCTATCAATCTCGGGTATTTTCATTTTTGAATATTTAGTAGCTCTATCAAGTACTCTTTTTATAAAGACCAAAATTTATGCAGCTCGGAAAGCCCACCCGCGCTATTTCGAGCCGCACCAAGTACTAGCTTCTTGTGAATGTTTGGCAGGAGCCAGGATGCTTCAAGCTGGGTTCGGCGATGACAGGCGTAAGTTAATTGCACGCGCGATAGTTCTGATGATCCCATACTCGTTTTGACCGGAGTTGCATGGTGCGCGCAAGCGACAACCACTCCCAATCACACATCAGCCGCAGCACGACCTCCTGACCGCACAAAAGATATGTTTGGGCAAGTGGGCTTGTGTCAGGTCGTTCTCTTTTCCCTTACGACGTGATTCGTTAGCCTTTCTCCTCTAACTAGCAAAATCTTCTAGAGTACCGTTGATCATTTTTGCCAGCTGAAAGGAAGTGAGTGGTTTCGTCCCACGCACTCCGAAGGGTTAATGCTGGCGTGGGAAAAACCTGAATCCAACCGCTGTCATGGCCGAAGTCAGCACACTCTTTGATCTCGGTCCAATAGGGAACTTCTTCGAACGAGTAAGTCCCCTCAGTATATCCCTACTCTTATATCTAAGGGTTCAAGAACGTGTGACACTAGTGCATTTTACTCTTTATTATCCGAGTAAAATTGTTTACCTGCCAGGGCATTTCAGCCGGTATCGGCTGCCAGCTTACCTGGATCGGCCATGCATCGACCCGCTGGATCCTGAATGCCCGAAAACGGCGCCCAATTATTACGACCGATGTAATGCTATGGAGAAGTTCAACGAATGGAACATGGCGAAACCAGATTCCGAAAAGGTGGGCCAGGATTACGGACCTGTGCGTAGTGGCAGATGGAAAACTCAATTTGATGAAACACGATTTTCGTTCCAGATTCAACTCGAACGTAAGCCCTTACCCGAGACGAAAAGCGAACAGGATGGACCATCACATCTGACCGAATCCATCCTTAACGACATTTTCGGTGAAATTTAAACGCTTTTTTATTTCACGTGTTGTTCAGCTATTACTAATGACGACTCTCAACACAACGAGGACATGTCCTATATACCAAATAATACACATAATTATAACTTAAATAATTATTAGGCTCCGGACACTGTACCCTTTTGAGGCGCAGAAATAATGCTTAACATTGCCATTATCGTTTTTTTCATATTGATTAGAAATTTAAGGAAGAAAGAAACGTGACACCACTGCCACTAAGAAACCTACGAATTCGGAGAAGTCTAATCCAAAAGACGAAGATTACTATGCATATGAAGACTCCGACTATGATGTCACTGGAATCCAAAATGCGACGTGTGAGCTCTTCTCCATAAATGCTTCAACGAATAATGATTATTAATTATTAATATGGATTGTACGTGATTATTTTAATGATAATTTTTTGAGATCTTACTTTTCCAGCTCATTCCAAGAAGAAGATGGACCCCAAAGAGCAGATGTGCCTGGAATATGGCGAATCGCTGTTGAAATGGATGAGCAAGAATCCAGATCGATGGGGTGAATTCCTTACTGAAAAGGAAATGCCGAAAGATCCTGACTATGATAAGGTACTGTCAGATGAGACTTAGATTGAACCGCTCGCAGCGAACAAGGGTGCAGCTCGGTGTTCGTGAGCAGGACCAGCATTGGCAGGACGTGGCTGACCATTCTTCAATTTGAGGACGGGGTTCGAGTCGGTAAGAAGGGGCTCCCTTGTCCGCTGGTGGGGATCCCATGGGAGGGTGGAAAGAGATTGTCAAGCTTGGCAAGACCAGAAATTCATGCCTAGGTGACGAGTTACTCCTGACTTTAGGGGTAGGGGTCGTAGCAGTGGTAGCGGTGAGGTTAGGAGGGAGAGGGGTTGAGGCAATGCCGAACTGTCAGTTCTTTATCGCTATGACGTACGTCCGCCCATCGAGGCCGGCTAGGTGAAATGAAGGCTATGATCGTGTTAAAAGTGGACGCAATAGAATTTCACTTCCTTACAATACGCATAATTTGGGGATCAATATCCGGTGAAACTTCGCCCTGCAAAACACGACTTATGCACCGTTGAAGACAATTTGAATGTTAAATCTGTTTGGTAAGGCAAATGCGCCATCTCCAACCTCGGGGACCCAAGTTATTTCTGATAAATGACTGCATCAAAAGATATAACCTTACTGAGTGTATGCTGAGAGCATGGTGCGTCTTGCAAGGGATGCGAATTAGCGCCAGCGCCAGGCGCCAGGCATGCGCATATTTTTTGGTATGACGATACATTAAGAATTTTTTCTTTTCAGGTTATGACAGGTGGTTGTAAAGGCTTTGGTAAAACGATTATGGAATGGCCCGAAGATCTCATCATTGGAGGTTGGTTACGGTAGTACTCATCCGAACTACTTCGTTCTTCCTAGTTGAAATCTTTGGGGGCATTGGAGAAAAATGCCGCCGCGAGACATTTTCTATCCTTGTGTCAAATTCTGACTTCTCTTTCATCAAAGTG